AGTTCTGGTCCCAGTTGATGTTATAAACTATAGACTTATATTCTACAAACCTGTGACTAAAGTATAAAGACATCAATAGCAAGGAGAAATCCCTAAGATGCCAAGGGGTACAGGGCAGGTGGGCTGCTGCTTATGGTGGCTACAGGGATGGTGCATGAGAAGGCCCTATGGTGGCAGGAGTGCCAGTCAGGGGCACTGAGTGGGCACTCTTCTGGTAGAGACTCAGCTAGATAGAGAGAATCTATTTGGGCTTACAGATGCTTTGAGGGCTGGCTTTGGCTCACTTCCCTGCCAGAGAAGAGCATGCAGCCTACCTATCTTCTCTGGACACGACAGGGAGATCTCTCCCTCATGTACTGTCTGTTCTCTGTTTCTTAATTTTTTTAAACCATGTTGCACCTGGATTTTTAAAAATTTTAAAAATATTTGAAACCGTCCTAATTTACATAAAAGTTGGAAGTTCAGTACAAAGAATTTTTTCTCTGAACCATTTGATGATTAAGTTGCTGACCTATCTATTTTTTTTTTTTTTTTTTTTTAGTAGAGACGGGATCTAGCTCTTGTGCAGGCTGATCTCAAACTCTTGAGCTCAAATGATTCACCTGCCTTGGCCTCTCAGAGTGCTGGATTATAGGCGTGAGCCACCGTGCCTGGCCTGGTGATGTTCATTTTGATCACTTGATTAAGGTGATGTTTGCCAGGCTTCTCCATTATAAAATTACTCCTTCTGAGGCCAGGCGCGGTGGCTCACGCCTGTAATCCTAGCTCTCTGGGAGGCCGAGGCGGGTGGATTGCTCAAGGTCAGGAGTTCGAAACCAGCCTGAACAAGAGCGAGACCCCTTCTCTACTATAAATAGAAAGAAATTAATTGACTAATATATATAGAAAAAAAAATTAGCCGGGCATGGTGGCGCATGCCTGTAGTCCCAGCTACTCGGGAGGCTGAGGCAGCAGGATCGCTTGAGCCCAGGAGTTTGAGGTTGCTGTGAGCTAGGCTGACGCCATGGCACTCACTCTAGCCTAGACAACGAAGCGAGACTGAGTCTCAAAAAAAAAAAAAAATAATAAAATAAAATAAAATTACTCCTTCTGTAGTTAATAAGTATTTTGTGGGGAGATACTTTGAAACTATGTAAATATTCTCATCAAACTTTAATTAAATTAATTTATATCTTTATAGAACATGGTTTTCTATTTTATTCAATGCATTATAATCTATTACTACCCTTGTTTATTGGCCACCTTCATGGACCTTCTGTGTCCTTTGATATATTCCCATCATTCTTTGGGCATTTCCTTGCTTTCTGATACAAGATGTTCCAGGCTGATGTTGTACTTCTTTCCACAGCCCTGGAATCAGTCATTTCTCCAAGGAGCTCTATTTCTTTTAGTGGAGAATGGTATTTAGAAGGCAACTGGGTGCTAGGTATGCTTATTGATTGCTATTGAGTGTTGCTGCTCCCTGGCCCTTCTTTAGATAGAGCTGGAAAATAAATATGCATGTATATATATATTTGTGTGTGTATGTATATTTGTGCTCACATTTACATCTAGGTTTATATATCTATGTCTATATCAGAAACCCTGAGTTCATACTCTTCCTGCGAATTCCAATCCAACAACACAGATTTTCTCTTTCCATATTTTAACTTCTTTCTTTAACAGTGAGAAACCTGGCTCCCAATATCTTTAATATATGCACTTCTTTGATCAATCCCTCTGAATGTGACTAATTTCCCATTGCTGTCACTGCCTTTTACCCTTCATGAGTACCTCTTTTACCCTGCCTATGACTCCCTTCATCAGACTGCCTCTGACATGGATGCTGTCCACACCTCCTCTTGGCTTCAACATGCTACACCATCCCTTCCTCATTCCATGTGAATGCCTTCACCCTGCCTGGGCTCTGGCTCTCCTCCGAGACCCCTCTGGCTCACCTCACTCCAACTAGTATAGATACCTGCCTTCCTCTGCTGCACATAATGGCTTTAGGGTTGAGTTTTTCAGGAAGGGAAGAGGAGGAGCTACTCTGTGTCTTGTTTGAGTTGAACTTGGTTGTTAGAAGTAAGGGAAGTGTGGAATCCAGTGACTGTGGACATGTGGAGGCCTGGCCTCCTAATATCTACTCTGGAGACCTAATATCTGGCCTCCTGGCCTCCTAATATCTACTCTGGAGACCTTCTATAAGAGAAGCTTTTTGATGTGGGTGAAATCCAGTGAGAAAGCAAGGCCCGCAGGCAAGAGAACCATTGGCCATCAGTGTGTTGTCCATGGGAGGGAATAGGGTATGCTCTATGTAAAGTCTAGAGCGTTTTAGAGATGGAGGAGACATCAATGTTACTCTCTAAGGCTGCCTTATGCACTAATTGTATTTACAGGCCCAGAGAATGGGAATCCAGACTTGGCCAAGTGGGCAAAGCCCAGTATGATAGTAGTAGTAATAATGGTAGGCTAATATTTATGGAGCCCTTATGTGCCAGATACTGCTCTTAGTGCTTTATATGTGTTGTCTCATTTTATTCTCACTAATGCGGTAGGTGCTATTATTACTGTCATTTTATAGGTGAGGAATTAAAGAACAGAGCTTGCCCAAGATGCCATGGCTAATAAGTGGCAAAGCCAGGATTCAAACCTGGAACCCCTCCTTAATCATGATGCTTAATTGCCTGTAGTATTTGACAAACAGGGTCTGGTTGCCTATATTGTGCATACTGTATACACATTGGAGAACTTTAAGACTTTAAAGTCTTTATGCATGGCCTGACTTCATGGGGTTAGAGGAGTTCTAAGGCCTTAAGGGACTTTGTTTTTTTGTTTATTTATTTTTTAAAATAACAGTATATATATATATATATATATTTTTTAAGCGTATTAGGGGGGTACAAAGTGTTAAGGTTACATATATTGCCCATGTACCCCTCCCCCCTCAAGTAAGAGCTTCAAGCATATCCATCCCCCAAACATTGCACATCTTACTCGTTGTAGTTGTATATACCCATCCCTTAAGGGACTTTGGATCCAAACTAGAATGGGTGATTTGAGCAGACTGGTGTCTCCCATCTCAATGAGGCTTCGAGTACTATTCAGGAGTGGGTGTTGAGAGAGTTATTTTGGCTCTGGCTTTCAAAGGGATATTGGCTTCTTTGCCTTCCTTTTTTTTTTTTTTTGAGACAGAGTCTCACTTTGTTGCCCAGGCTAGAGTACCATAGCGTCAGCCTAGCTCACAGCAACTTCAAACTCTTGGGCTCAAGCAGTCCTTCTGCCTCAGCCTCCTGAGTAGCTGGGACTACCGGCATGTGCCACCATGCCCAGCAAATTTTTTCTATAAATATATATATTTATATTTAGTTGGCCAATTAATTTCTTTCTATTTTTAGTAGAGACGGGGTCTTGCTCTTGCTCAGGCTGGTTTTGAACTCCTGACCTTGAGCAATCCTCCCGCCTGGGCCTCCCAGAGAGCTAGGAGTACAGGTGTGAGCCACCACGCCTGGCCTCTTCTTTGCCTTTCTAAGGGATTTCATAGTGAAACTCAAGCCAGCCGGAGTAGTTTTGGCTGCATTTTTGGTGGGGCTATACAGCAATGGTGAAAACAAGTGCTTTACCTATACAGGATCCATGAAGACCTTGAGATAATATTTTTTAGTCTTAGCTCCACTGAATCTCCCTGAAATCTCACTATAGGGATAGTAAAATTGAAGACCTACACTAGCATATATCCTAATATGCAGGCAAGCTATTGTAGCTCATTCAGCGAGTAAGGACAGAGGTTAAAAGAAAAGTAATACTTGGCGTTGTCCATTTCCTCTCAGGTAGTAGGGGCCTCATTGCCTCTGAGTATGCTCTGGACTTCACAGGGTGCTATCCCTCTGCCCTACATGGAGGGAGCCAGGTGTCCACTTGCAGCCATTCAGAGGCAAGCCCTTTGTTGGAATGGGGCTTCAGAAAGTGTAAAGTGTGGCCATTTCTGTATTGTGAGATTTCTTTACTTGAGGATTAAAGTTGAGGGAAATTTGAATGTTGGGTATAACAGGGGGAAAGACACAAAATTTCTGCTTTGTTCTTATTTTTTTTAAGGAAGTTTGAGTTATTTGTGAGTAAAGCTATAGGCTTTGATTTTTATATTTAGTTAGCCCTCTGAGGAGCAGGCATTCTGCAAATTTAAAGGGAAAACTTAAAGGAAAAGTGATTCAATTTTTTTTTTTGCACATGTTCACTTAGAAAACTTTACTAGAGTTTTAGCAATGCTCCCATTACTGCCACATCTGGGTTTTCTTTTTCTTCCCTATTTAAAAGTCCTGCAGTCATTCAAGGGCCTCTAGTAGAGAGTGAGTCTAAAGGCAGAAAATGAGAAGGCCTAAGGCTGTTGCCAGCTGTGCTCTCCAGGCAGTGTTCATTCCCCCAGGGTGCCACTTACTGTTGTGGGGGCTGGGAACCAACAGAATGTCTTCAGCAAACTCCTCTGTGATTGGCTTTGTTTGCTTTCACCTTGGGAGAAGGGAGCAGGGAATGTGGAGATGTCAAGAATCAGACAGGAAAGCTAGAAGCAAATGGCTCCTAATGGAGCTGAGGAGAGAGCCTAGGACATTTTCTGCTGTGTTTCTCCGTCTACTTAGCTCCTAGGACTGATTGTGCAACGGGGTCACCTCATATTACTTTGGGACCCAAAGCTTTAATGTTAACTGTTGCCACCTGAAAAGTGACCGCAAAATTTTTCTTGCTTCTCTCTTTTGAACTTTAAGATGAAGGCCAGTGTTGTATGTTGTTTTGAGAATGGTCCGGGAGACTCAGAGCTGTAATAATGCTGCAGGTGCTGGTATTAGGGTCTTGAACTTTAGTAAGGAATGCTGTGATTTAGAAAAGGGGCCCAGAAACACTGGGGAGTGGCTCATGTTGTGTGGATATTCCTGAAGACTAGATGGAACAGGACCACAGCGGGAGGGGAGTAACCCAGGCTCTCTGTTCTTTTTTTTTTTTTTTTTTTTTAACTTTCCTCCCCTAAGTTTTAGATGCTTCTGGATGTTCAATGCTAGCACCTTTACAGACTGGAGCAGCTCGATTTTCTTCGTATTTACTTTCAAGAGCAAGAAAAGTGCTGGGCTCCCACTTATTTTCTCCCTGTGGTGTTCCGGAGTTCTGCTCCATATCCACCAGAAAGCTGGCGGCCCACGGCTTTGGCGCATCCATGGCGGCAATGGTGTCCTTCCCTCCCCAGAGGTATCACTACTTTTTAGTGCTGGACTTTGAGGCTACGTGCGACAAGCCACAGATTCATCCTCAGGTAACTGTTGCATCATTGCTTTAGAAAAGGTGGGGTGGGCAAGGAGGGAGGGAGGATAGTCTTGCTTCCTGGGACCCAAAGGAGCTTTATCACATTGTCTTGGCTTTTAGCTACTCATTTGGAGTTCCTGCCTAGGAAGCAGGACTTGGTTCAGGTTTGCTAGGGTAAGGTAGACCTGAGAAGTCTCTGGGGAAATGGAGCACACTGTTTCTCTGTGGTCTCAAATTTTGGGAATCAAAATATTTCCTTCTCTCCCATCCTTCCTCTCTCCATTCTCTTCCCTCCTCTCTTATCCTGTCACTGCCACTTATTCTTTTAAGGAGCACTGTGGTAGCCAGCCTCTAAAATGACCTCAGTAATCCTTACCTCCTGGTATTCACATGCTTGTAGTTCGCTTCCCACACTGAATCAGAGATAGCTCTGTTTAACTAATGGAATATAGTGGAAGAGACAATGTGTGACTTCTAGGGCTAAGTTATGAAAAGGTATTGCAGTCTGCCCTGCTCTTTTGGATCACTTGCTCTGGGGGAAGCCAGCTGCCATGCTGCAAGTGCACTCGTGCAGTCCTGTGGAGAGGCACGTGTGTCTGAGGAACTGAGGCTCTTAGCCAAAAGCTAGTACCAACTTGCCAGTCATGTGAATGAGCTATCTTGGAAGTGAATCCACCAGCCCCAGTCAGGCCTTCAGATGACTGCAGCCCCAGTGGACATCTGACTTCAACCTGAGGAGAGACCCTCACCCAGACCAACCAGCCAAGCCACTCCCAAATGCCTGACTCACAAGAACTGTGAGAGATAACAAATGATTATTGATGTTTTAAACCACAAGTTTTGGGATGATTTGTTATGCCACATTAGATAACCTGAAGAAGTACCATTGTTGGTCTGTTAGAAAGGACAATTTGTTTGCTTGCTTATTTTCCTCAATCACCAGTTACGTTCAGAGACCTTTTACCTAGGAAGCTGGGATTAGCAGCAGAAAGGCACCTGTGCTAGGTGACATCAAAGTGCTTAATGTTTGCTTTAAGGCAATGGTTGGGGGCTGCTGTGGCAGTTCACTGTAGTGCTGATGCCTCAGGTATGCCTGGCTCTAGGACTGCAACTCTTCCCTCAGGGCTAGATTACAGAGTGAGAAATTTTGTGATGCATAGACTTGTTCCTCTGGGAGCAGCATTCAGTATTAAGCAGAAGGGAAGAAGAAGACTTCAGCATAGAGCAATCGGGAGGTGGGGATGAGTGGGCTCCATTCAGAGATAAACTGGGTTCATTTCTCATGGTTGTTTTTTTTTTCAGGAAAGTGTCTGTCTTTAGAATGGTAGATTATTTTACATAATGACTCCACAACTTCTTTAGTTTCCCCTTTCTCCTCTTCTTTTTCCTAGTCTCCCTTAAAGCAGTGGTCTGCCTTTGGGGCATTGGAATAAGGCCTACTAAGGCCTAGGAAGACTGGGGTTGGGTAAAAAGAATGTCCTAAGGGAAGGAACTTTGGATGAATGGGGGTGCAGCTTGGGAGCTACCCATGCCACACTTAGTTTCTCTGCCTCTTGTTCCTGCCTGTGCTGTAGAGTCTTCTCTGCCTCCCCAAACTACTGGCGTTTCTCTGGCATAGTGGGGATGCCCGAGTGGTGGGTTGGGAATCAGAGATCCATATCCTAATATACCATATTATTTCCCTACTGATGTAGGTTTCAGTCACTGAGTAAGCCCTAGTGGGACATGAGACTAAAATCTAACATATTTCTATTGCATATGATTCATTCCTCTTCTGAATCCCCATAATTGCTTGGCAACTCCATTATGGCATTTACTGCTTTTTCCTTCCTGGCATATGCTTGTGTATGTGTATTTCTTACTTTTCAGTTAGAGTATAAGCTCAGATAATTATGTAGCTCTGTTCTCATGTCCTGCAGAGGGTCCTGCCAATGTTCCTGAAGGTGAAGCCTGATTTGTGTCTCAATTTGGTCGGACAGTGTCACCTTTCATCTCTTTTTCAAGGGCATTGTTTTTCTTTATGTATTTATTTATCACAGTGCTGAAGACGTAAGGAGTACAAATTAAAATCACTTGTATCACCAACTTTCTTCCCAGACTTAGGCACAAAGGCCCTCCAGACCCAGGCTGAGTTAGGATTTCATGCTGTTTACCAGGATCTGGGCCTGATTATAGATTATCTTCAGAATCAATGAACCCTGATGATGTGATTCCAAGGGCACTTAAGGAATTGGCTGCCCTGGTTCATTATTAGCCAAGCATTAGCTGTTGCTTTAGAGAACTCAGGAAGAAGCATTTGCTGTCTTGCTTATCTTTAAAAGGAGAATACGAATGATCTTGGAAATTATAGACCCGTTAGTTTACTGTGATTCTAGAGAAGATACTTGACCTGATAGTCAGATAATCAATCAGCAAACAGCTAGGAGAGCGTGGGGTACTGAGTAATAACTTACATGGGTTTGTGAAGAAGAGCAAATCCTGTCAGATCAATCTAACTTCTTGCTGTGACATTGTGATGGATTTGAGTGGATCTAGGGCAAGTGATAAATGTAATGCATCTCGACTTCATTAAGCCTCTACAGTGCTATGATCAACAGGTGGGAAGGTGAGTTTGGGGCCAGATATCTGTGTTGGACTACCCATCAGCCCACCCTCAAGAAAGAGGTGGGCAGCTTGAGACTTGTTAGTGGCAACTCAAAGTCTCCCTTTTTTGGAGGGGGGGGATTCAGAGGAAGCTTAGAAGATGGATTGGAGACCTTGGTTCCAGATAGAATAGCATTCTTCCATTGAGGTCGTTGTAGATTGGGCTCTCATTAGAGCCACTGTGCTTTTTAGGCCTTCTGGTAAACAAGAGAAGTGGAGAAATTGGAAAGGCACAGGATAAGAAGAAAAAAACCATTAGAGGCACAAAAATGGGCTTAGTAAGAAAGAAAAGGAATTGAATATAGTTTTCGTGACAATTTCTTGTCCAGACTAAATAAATTCATCATGTGGGGAGTAGTTGTTCCAGGGAGTATGATATTAGCTCATTCTTCTTTTCAATAAGGACAAAAAAAGAATTGAATTTAAATGGAAGCAGGAAAGGTTGAGATTTGGCATGAGAGTGAACTTCCAGAAGAGACAGTAAAAGGATTAGAAAAAGGTGTACAAGTTAAATTAGCCTTCCCTTGTACTCTTTTGGGATGGCTTGATGGCTGTGCACTTGACCGAGGTTCTTTATGGGTAGGGTCTGCATGTGTCCTGGGGGTGGGGTTGGGGTTGTGAATGAGAACCACCCCAGCTCTCCTGACTAGTTCCCAGGAACTATCAATACCCAAGACCTCTGTGTGGCACACTTCTGGTTCTTATGAGAATGTTTCATACCCCTTGAGTGTACAGTAGGCAGAAACAGTTTGGGGCTAGGGCCTTTTTGGAGCCTCATTTCTCTCTTGTCTCAGGATTTCAGAAGTCCTTGAGTCAGCTTATTGGGACTGTCCTAAAGGAATGAAAAACTAACAGGTGTAAGCTCTGTTGTACTTGGGTGAGTAACAATATTGGTTGTAAACATAGTAAAATGTGGTATTTTCCATTTGTCATCATTTTACTGTTTATTTTTATACTTTGTTCAGCTAGGTGAAACTAGAGTGGTCGGTTTGACAGTAATAGGCTTTCGTGTTCTGGTTTTTGCACTCATTTGTTTTACATGTTTCTATTCAGACTAACATGATAGGTATTGGTTGAATAGCTGACTTTTTTTCATTCGAAAACATTTTTTCACTTAAACATTAATTTAGATGATTTAAAATGTTTTAGAGGTTCTGAATTTTAGGAACGTGGTTCCTTTCTTGTTTTAGAAATTGTTTCCTGATATAGAAGTAGATTTTTATCTGATTTAGGAGAATTGTGGCTCCTTTGTCCTCGCTTGCAGGAGTTCACGTTGCTCATTTTGGTGTGGATGTGCATCGGATGATGGTTGTTTTGACCCTGAGGCCCAGAGAGCAGCCTGAAAGCTTTGGTGGGATCTTTAATTGTGCATCTTTAACCTTGGGGCAAGTTCTTTCACCACCTCAGTGTTCAAAGGAGACCAAAGCAAATGTAAGTGAGGAAAATGAGGTATAGGCCACAGCACGAGGGGAGGAGGAAGTAACCTCAGCTGTCTGGATGGCCAGGGAGGGAGGGGGCAGCCAAGCTCTCTGCATCTGGGGAGCTGCCGTCCTGCTGCTGCCTACCCTTCCTCCCCAGGTTCTCTGCCCATCCATCAGGCTCCTGGGTAGCCTTTTTCTCACTGCTCTGCAGCAGCCCTGCCGACTATTTGCCTTCTCATCTGTATTCAAGTGCCCATAACTTTGGAGAAAAATGACCTTTGGGGTTGAGGTTTTCTAGTGTTTGGTCTTTGTCCACAGGGGCTTTTTTTTTTTTTTCTTTTCATGGAAACCTTGAAGAGACTCCATCTGCATTTTGAGTTAGAACTATGAGTAAAGGAGTTTCTCTTTTATAGAAAATTGTCCAGATGCTGGGTTATTTTTGAAGGGTAGGGTGGGGGGAGGGTTGATGGTGACAGAAGAGAAGGAATAATACAGAAGAGAGGCATTTGGAAGATTTTAGCATGACCTAGAGCTGGCACATCATTATTAGTCTTGTGTGAAAGAGACATTTTGGAAAACTTTACAGGAAATTGGATAAAATCTCTACAAAGCAAACTATATTGATTCCTTTCTCCTCTGTTCAAGGCTGAAAGGCAGGAATCCCCTTGACTCCCCCTACTCCCCATTACTCTTTGCTCCATATTTAGCTTCTTTCCTTCTCTCTGTTCTTGGCTCCTATAGTCTCCAAGTGGACAGGAAGGCAGTTGCCTAGAGAAAGAAGATACCCTTCCCTCCCCATTTGCTTGTCTTGGTTGCAGCTCCTCCAAGTGGGAGGAGTTGGGCCTGGCTTTTTAGCCTGAGAGCCTAGTCATTGGGTTGTGGTCCCTCTGCCTGTGGCCCCAGTCAGCGTATGCTTTTTTTCTGTACAGACAGGCGAAGGCACTGA